CGGGAATAATGGATAAAGAGCTAAGAACAGGAGCAGTTGGAGTAAGCGTTCACTCAGGAAGGAGGGGTGAATGTAGGTTCCCCAGGCACCAGCGGTTGGGGGTTGCTTGTTCGGAAATGACCTGGGATTAAGGGTGAGCAACGAGGCAGCCAAGTTGGTTGGTGACACCACAGAATTTTGGGTGTTTATAGCACACACACAAAAAAAGTGGGGGGGGGTGGGAGGGAACAAAGAGCTCCAACGCAATCGCTCCCTACTAGGAAAAGGGTATTAAGGTGGGAAATGCAGTTTGGGATGAGCAAATGCTTGTCAGTCCACCCAGAGGCCAAAAAAAAACAAAAAAAAACCCCTAACTTCCTTTCTATTTTTTTGGCATCTCAACTGGGAATGGCTAATTTAGAAATGAAAGGAGGATGACGTATCTGTGACAACAGGAGGAAACACCAGCCAGGTCAAGGTGGGAATCGCTGAGGAAGAAAAGGGGAATTTCTGAATAATCCTGCCTCGATGCAATTCTTATGGCACAAGAACACACAGCATGAAGTGCGTGTCCAGCTGGAGGAAGCGCCTGGAAAGAAACGGGCCTTTCCCCCTTTCGTTGTTGGGCGCCAGGGATTTTGCTGGGTTTCCGGAAGGAGAGCTGGGTTAGGCGTTTTGCAGCAGAAACAGCCCCTAGCAGCGCCTTGCCGCACTTTGTGACGAACCATTTCATCATCCCCGAAGCCTTCCCAGGTTCCTGGGCTCCAAGCAGGCCAGAAGAGTCTTGTGGAAGGAGGGATCTATGGAGACACACAGCTGGGAAAGAGGGGGAGAAAGGGGGCAACGGTAAAAGGAAGAGGGAGGAGCGGAATTGCTTTCCAAGGGGCGGGCAAAAGGCAGCTGTTGGGGCCCAGCACCTGCTAGGCTTTTCAGAGAGGCCCCGGACGGAGGTTGGTTTCTCATCTCCTCTGGAACTGTACAGATCTTGCCCCCACCCCAACCTTGGCTTGCTATCTGCTTTTAATTCTTTGAAGAGGTGGCCAGGAGAAGGAACATCCATTCTGCATTAACAAGGTTATTAGCACTTAATTATCAGAGCTGCCTGTAATTGAAAAGGGAAAGGCAGCAGTCCATCAACACCCCCGGATTCTCTAAGCTCCTTAAGGCAAAATGGGGGGCTTTCTTTCCCTTTTCTTTTCTCGTATGATTCACAGGAGCGCGACACTTATGAATACGAAAGCCGCTTGTTTAGAAGGGTTGCAAGGAGCAGGACGCGCCTCCCTCTGGATGTGGAATGCCACTTAGAAGCATTCCTTAATGAGGATCTGCTGTGTCAACAAAGCTCGCTGAAGGGGGGGTGTTAATTGTGCGGAGGGGGTGGAGGGATTTAAAGCGAACATCACCTGCAGCTTTTTGCCGTTCCCTAAGGGCGTGGAAAGAGGAAGTGGGAGGGGCTGTTCTGCCCCTCCCAGGGAAGGCTGCGTGACTTACGGGACTGTCTCTCAGCGCTCTTATTCTCTCCGAAGCCTTCCCAGATTCCTTGGCTCCAAGCAGGCGCGAGGAGGAGGGCTCTATAGAGACACGCAGCTGGGCACGGTGAAAGGAAAAGGGAGGAGACGGAACTGCTTTCCAGGTGACCAGCAGGAGGCAGCCATCGGGGTACAGTAGAAAGAAGCGGATTTCCAGACAGAAGTCACTTAACGGCAGGCGGAGCAGGGAGTCGAACCACCAGATTTCCCTTTGCAGCAATAAAAACACATGCTTTTGTGGCACTGGTCAATCCTGCAGGAGGAAGAAAGGCTTCTACACTGAACCGCCCCCAGATAAAGCAGAGAGGCCTCCTCTGGCTGGAGGGAAGCCGTACAACCTGCCGCCAGCCGGCCATGCACACCTGGAGGCCCGGAGCTCGTTCCCTGGATTGATGTTTGCTGCCACCTGATGGCTGTTCCGTGAGCTGCAGCCCATTGGGAAGAGGGCCGCAACTGAGCCGGTCACTTGGTGCCTAAGATCCCTTCCTTCCAGTTCGGAGCCAGACGAGGCCTGGCGTTAGTGGCTGTGCTATGCCCAGGAGAGCAATGGCTGGCGCGATGGGCTTCTTCTCCTCCCTCCTGCCAGGCTTCCTAACCAGCCTTGGCACAGCAGAAGAGGCGGTGTTAACACACCTGTTGGGTAATAAAACAGGGTGGTCTCCACAGACACAGGTCCACTGTAAAGGATGGTCATTCCCCTACCTCCAAACTCTGACCTGCACCTATAAAAGGGGAGAGAGGTCACTCTCATTCCCTGTGGTGCTTCACCTCTTAATAGAGAGGGCATCTGGTCATCAGTGGCTTGATTGTCCATCAATCTGTCCACTCCCCATTTAATAAAAATGTCTGAACAGCAATGGCAACATCTTCCATAATTTAATTATGCACAGTGTAAACAAAAAAAAAGGCTCATTTTGCCACATAGCCTTTTTAAAGCTGTTTCATCCTGATGTTATTGTACTGGGATTTTAGTAATTTATTTCTCTCCTGTTTGTGATGCTGTGTTTTGAAATTCCTAGTTCCCTGGAGTTAAAACAAGATACATCACTTCCATTAAAGAACCAAAAAGCAACCGTCATGGTTAATCTGTAGCCCCAGCTGCCAGCTCCCTCTGGCCACAGCCAGAACAGAAGTGGGAGAGGTGGCCCTGAAAGCAAAGCAGGCCACTGAAGCTGGGCTGCCTGCACCCCAGGCGTTGTGCACAAGCCAGCAGCAGCATTTGCAGAGCCCAGGCCACCAACACATTCTCCCTGCCCCAGAACACCACCTGTGCAACCTGGGCACCCTTACAGAGCAATGCCAGCCCTGACCCTAACCCTTTGACACTAGGCCCAGCCTCAGGAGGACATGAGCATCTGCCTCCCTTGCTCATGTGTCCTCCAGAGGTGCCATGACTACAACTCCCAGGATGCCCAGGCAACATGAGTGGCTGGGAATTGTAGCTCTAGCACTGCTGGGGAGCACCAGGTTTTCCTTTAAAGATGACTTCGCTGTTGAAAACAAACAGGCACCATTTCCCTTCCAGGCAAAGACTCCAATGCTTGGTGCAAAGCAGAGCAGCAGCGGCTCCCTCCCATTGTCTTCCCACCTAGGATGAGAGCTGGCCACAGCCAACCATGCTCTAACTCAGCATCCGCCTCTCGCTCCATCTTTCCAGCATGTTTCTGCTGAATGGGGGTGAAGGAAGATGGGGGGCTATGAAGTGCACTGAAAGCTAAGCCTTTAATCTTAACACATTACCAATGAGCTCATCAACAAAAATCTAATTATTATGTGTGGGGCCAGGCTTAATTGCTTGTCCTTGACATGCATAATGTACCACGTAAGCCTATTACCCAGTTTAAGCTTATTATCATCATCATCATCCGGCTTCCTGTCAAAAATATAAAACAGCTAAACAGTGGAGGGAGGGGATAATTAATAGCTGAACTATTATGCAAGGCATCTGTTTGCATCTCAGTAGCTGACTCTGCAGGAGGACACGCCTAGGCCCAGAAAATGGCAGGGCAGGACGCAGGAGCGAAGCCCCTCCCCCAGTCCCCTTGAGGAAAGCCAGAGCTCCAAGTCACCGCTGCAGAATAGAAGCAAGTAGTGAACGTTCCCCTTGCCTGAGAAGAGGGAAGCAGCGGAGTCTGCCGAAGTCTCTGGGGAGGGGCACCTATGGACACAGGCTGTCTCCTCCAGTGGGGCCAGGCCCAGGCCATCCTGTGGGACTACTGCCCCCTCTCCCACAGGGAAGCAGAGCAGCCCAGGTCTTGCGAGTGCGAAGCACACTCTTCAGAGCACAGAGAAGCAGCTTCAAGCCCATCTTGAGTCTGGACAGAGAGCAGAATGCACAGAAGGCTGACAGCCTTCCCTCTGAATTTCCAAATCCTTCCTGGCAAGCAGGAGCTGGGTGCGCCACCTCCCTTCCTCACCTCCTGCCTTGCTGCCTGGCACCTTTTCCTCGATCCCTAATTAAACGCTGCTAATAAGGCAATCAGGATGGCAGAGGCAGCTGCACCACGTCCCCACCCACACTGGTGCTCTGCAGACGTATCGCTACACATAAGATGTTTACAATGTTTAATTCGTACAACTATTAATCATTTTTCTATCTGCCTCATTTGCCTAATGATCAGCTTGCTCAGGTTGGCCACCACAGAGAATGACAGAAGTTTAAATAAGAATTTCGTATCTCTCCCTTTCCTGTGGCTAGGGCTAATCAAAGTTGACCTATGTTACCGGGCCATTCCCCAAATGAATGGCTTTGTCTCAGCAGCAGCTGGAAACAAGCCGTGATCCAGCCAAAGGAGCCCTTCTAAGAGACAGCTGGCTCCCTGCTTGCTCTGGAGCCACCCACTACGCTCCCAACAGAAAAGCCATTTTAGTGGTGCAGACCCAGCCCAGAGATGGAGGAGGAAAATACGCCACCAGAACCTGCAGAAAGGTGGGAAAGCCGCAAGCAGCCCTCACCATCCCTGAAAACGTGGTTGTGCCTAAGCGGAGAAGCAGCCACTGATGCGGACGTCTCCTCCCAAATGCGTAGTCATGGGGCACAGGGACAATGCCCCCCCACTTCAGTGGCTCAGCCAAGAGCAGCCCAGGGCAGCTCCCCTCTAGGCACTCTGGGAAACACTCTTTCAAACAAGTACATTGCAGCTCCAGAGTATATGCACACATGCACTCATGTGCATATATGACACACTCCCCATGCAGTGCTCTACTGCCATTTCACCCGCTACAAATGTCAAGGCATATCTCGAAAGCTCAGCGGTAGTGTTGGGCCACATCTCTTTGGCCAAAGAGTTCTCTCTCTTGGCCAATAAACCAGGGGGCAAAGCTGCTGCAGTGCGTATATGCTCCAGAAAGCAGCCAAGGGAAAGAGCTTCAACCGAAACCATGACAGAAAATTAACATTGTACCACAGACCAGGGGACACCCTGAAGCAGCACAGAACATCAGCGGTTTTGGCCCATTTCGTATTCTCTTTTGCAGACCCAGCCCACTCCCTGCCTGAGTGACGTGGGCAAACTTAATCCAGCAACAGCGGCCCAGAAAAGCCCCTCATACAACCAAAACAGGAACGGACCAACTGGAACATGGCAAATAACGGTCAGGAAGTTCTCCCAAGTTGGTTCATCCACAAGTAACAAAAAAGTTTCTCCATTCACAGAGAAAGGAAGATGTTCCCTAACTAAACACCCAAGTCCACAGACCCTGCTGCCCATGTTTCCTGCTACCAACACAGTAGTAACGAGTTTCAAAAAACAAACACAGGCACAGAGTAGAAAAAAAGAAACCTGTTATTTACGAACTGTACACTTAAATTGCAGCGAGTACTGAAAATCTGAACAGCCCTGCATCTCTGCAGAATCTGCTTTCTACAGAAATGTCCTTGCGCTTCTCTGTAATTTGCAGGGATCCCCAGAGAAGCATCTCCCAGACTTACACTGGAAAATCTACAAGAACAGAAAACTGCATGTTAATGTTCCAATCAACTTCTTCAGCTGTGGCTAGAAGGGAGGTGACGGCCAAATTTCACCATTCCAGCAAGTCCTTTGAGGAAAACCTGATAAAGAAACAGGCTCCCTGCTCCAGGGATGGCCTGCAAGTTCTCGAGACCCAGAAAGGGTGACGCTTTAGACCAGGGAAGTCACAGTCAAAATAGTCAGTGGCTGCAACATGTCCAGGAGACACCAGAGCACTGAGGACAAGAGCCTGATCTGGCTCCTCTGTACCTCTCCCGCCACCAAGTGCCTGGCATTTGGGGCAAGAGGGGATGACCAGGCACAGCAGCATCTTCAACCTGCCCTGGGAGTTCTGTCTTTCAGCTGGACCAGCCTTCCAGGAGCCTCCATTCAAAAGGCTCTCCGGGCTCCTTCTCACACATTCAGTATTCCACGAGTCCTATTAGCCTTCCCTTCTTCTACTCTGCTGGACCCAGTGGTTTTCCTGCAGATTCTAGGAGGCAAACTCTGGTTGGTAGCAAGCATCCCCCTTCAGCAGGTCCCTTCAAAAAGCTTTGTCCCAGATGGCCTGGATGTTCACATGTCCTCCACGCTCCACTTGTATGCTAGCTCCTGTGTCGCTTTTTTACTTGCTATTCTGGCAAAGCGCTTCTTCTCAAAACCGTTGGACCTGCAGAAACAAAAGGCAACAGCTAGAGGGGAGCCTTGGAAGACGCATTTGGGGGGGACGGGACTAGATGGACTTTATGGCAGCATCAGCACCTCCAGGCACCAATCTGATTCAAATTAGTACAGGGAGAAGGGAAGCCAACAGCCATCTAGAGAGGCCCCTCCTAAAACTGTATGGAAGACCTACCGCCCTCTTTTATGTTCCTGGACAGGGGATAAAAGGAACGCAAGGTTGTACTGCAGAGTCCTGGGTGCTCTCTGAACTTGGCTGCCTGCTTGCAGATAACTGACTAGGTAACATCAACAGTGCCAGTGAGCATGGGGTTTGCTCCCTGTGTATACATAGTGGCTTGCCCTGCCCGTGTTGGTGGGGGTGTGGTTCTCTCCTGAGTAGTTCCTTAATTAGGGCATTGGTTTCTGCTTGATTGTCAGTGTTAATCCCTGCTTATCTGGGCGTTGGTTGCTGGAGAGGATGCGTTCTGGTCTTTTTCTTTCCTTCTTAGCTTTTTTATTATCTCTTTTGAATGGCGTGCAAATATGGCATATTTCTAGGTGCCTACTGATGGCTGATTTGTCTGAATGCCAAGCTTCCAGGGTTAGGATTAGAGTTAGGGTTAGGGTAAGGTTGTACTTTAACCAAAAAAAAAATTGTTAGCCATGAGTCAACCCTGCAGGCAGAGAAGGAAGCCCAGATCCATCCCATTGGTCTTTAGGACCTGGAACTGAGTGGTCACCATTCTGGCTACTGCCAGAAAGAGTAACTTACCTGTCTACTCCGTCCCAACGATAGCCAGGCCAGATGTTAAACCTGTTCAATGGGGGTGCTGGCCCATTATACTTTGGTTTTTCTGGAGGAGGGAAGAAGGAAGCAAACAGTGGAGGCTTATATTCTTTTTTTTTTCCTTAAAGAAATTAGTCATGTTAACAGGGACCCAAAGATACAGCGAGGAAACTGAAGGGAGAATTAGATGTGCTTTACCGCTGATATTAGGTGCCACTAAAGTACTAGTGACGTAGAATACGCATTGCCGCTGCAACATAGAAAAAACAACCAGGAAGCAAAAGATGTGCTTAAATTACCAACTGCCTTTCTCCTCTTTTAAATGTACACCACCAGTTCCCTTGAAAGTGGAACGTGACAACTGGTGCAATCTCCCACTGGTACACACAGGCCCTCTTCCCTACAACCTTTCAGTCACCACTCCTACAGTTCCTCCAGCTGCTCCTTTTGATCATTTTTCTTCAAGGTCCCTGCAGGTGCAAGACTGAGGCTGCAAGTGCTGACCTTTGGTGTCCTGCCTCTCCTTGGCCTTCTTCTTCCTAATGAAGTCAGCCATCGGGTCTCCTTCTCGCTCCTGCTCCCGCAGCAGTTTATCCAAGTCCTGGTCATCGATGTACCTCGCCAGGGGCTTCTGCATTTCCTTCACTGCATCTTCCACATTTTGCTGCTGCTGCCTGCTCTGGGCAAGGCTGAAAAAGGAAGATACACGTTGCACGTCATAAGGTAAGACGGTAGGAAATACAGGAACGCCATCACTGCCAAGACCCCTCCACAAAATGGTTACGCACCACAGCTTAGTAAGAGAGCACGCTGACATGCAGAAAGTCTAAAGCGTCACATCAGGCTTCTCCACCAAAAGAGGGTAAGTGTCAGATCCTTGGGGAAACCTCACTTTAAGATTCTGGGGACTTGCTACCAGGCTGGAAGCCAACACTGGCCTCATTCCCTCATTTGGCCATAAGACGGTTCTTTTCTCCTCCGAAAGACTTTTTTCCCTCAGGATACAGGGCTTCCATCCTGAAGTCCGGAAACTGCCAGCTCACCCTTTTCCCCACTTGGCATACTGCTCATCTCTCTCAGACTTCTCTTCTGCTCTCTTGCGCTGCTCCAGCCGCTCCTGCTTCAGGTCCCTCTTACGGCCCATCTCATCCCGGAAAACGGTGTTAGCACGCTGGGATTCATCTGAAGAGAAAGCAGGTATATCACAGGATTCAAAAGCGACTATGTAGTTAAGGGTGCTTCCAAGTGGAGGTCTCAAAATCTTTTCCCCTTTTTCTTCCACGATGGATTCTTGCAGTAATAGCAAAACCATGGTGGGGAATAGAGAAGGAAGATCCACATGGCAACACTTGATACCCCACAGAATCCCATGAAAGCAGCAGCGGGATTTAATAACAAGAATGGTAGGTGGAACTATCTAAAATCAATCCACCTATTGCCCTTAGTACATCCAATCAACTGGCCTCCTGGACCAGGTTTTGCCTGGGAATGGCTGGATTGCCACGGATGCCCCATCCAATTTCAGGGTCCCTAGAAGGAGAATTCTCACCCTCCAGATGTTTGCTTCTGCTGCTGCTATCCTGCCTCTTAAATTCCTGCTGCTCCCTTCTCAGCAGATCAGCTGATACCAAGCCAGCTTTGCCCCCCGACAGCATCTGAAGAACAAACAAGGTGGAAGCAACACGAGAGTTATGCCACAGGAACCATACATTCACGGCAGAATCTATTTCCACCCTGGCAGCCCCAGCTGGAGCAAAGCGTTGTCCTCTGACTGGGCCCCACAGCACTTCTCAAGTTCTTGCTGGAAGCCAAAACCTCACCCTTTGGCTATTCCCATTGGACTCCACAGCCTGATGGCGTGGCAGGACAGCAGAGGGGCTCCTGGACCTGCGGCCTTTCTTTTTCACTTCTGGACCTCTTCGGGGAGGAGACAAGTCAGAATCCGAAGATTTGTGCCGATTCCTTCTAGGAGGGGAAAGATCAGAAGGGGAATTTGGCCGCTGTGTGCCTGCGCAGCTTGTGGCCCGTGGCGGTGAAAGGTCCGAATCTGAGGCGGCTTTAGCACTCCTCCTTGTTGCAGGAGAAGAGCCAGAAGTGGATTCAGAATCATGTCTCTGTCGCTTCCTTGGTGATGTTGTTGTTGGTTGGGGCTGCTGGTTGGCTGGAGAACCAATAAAGAAAATTAGACATTTTCCAAATGCACACCAAGGCTGGTTGATGGTTGCAAAGTTTTCATGAAGGAGTTCAGATAACTCACACTCCAAGCTATGTGAGGTACTTTGGCACAAAGTTACTCACTTCTGGATGACAGCCCCTTCTGAGGCAGCAACAAGTCTCCCTCAGCATTACATGCTTTCTTGCAAGGTGGTAACACATCAGGAGCAGCCTTGCACTTCTGGCTGCCTGAACGTCCATCTGAGAACAATTCACGTTGGCCTCCACTCAAGCTTTTGATGCGATTTTTGCCTCCTACAGAAGGTAGTCTTTTAGGGAACAGATCTGGCTGGGCATGACAGCCCTTCCTAGGTGGGGATTGGTCCAACAAATGTTTTTCATTTTGTTTTGAGGTTTCTGAGCTGAATAAGGCAACAGAAGCAACAACGTAAGTTTCTAACAAATATGCCACTTTCACTTAACATTGTGTTATAAGATACAGTTTTATACATTTTTGACCCTTGCCTGGGTACAGAACAAGCATCTTAGGAAAAATTCTCCTGATCTGAGAACCCTCTGGCTGATTCAGCAATCTGGTGATAGCACATAATATTGTATCACAGGTTTTTCCCCCTAAGCCACAATTTCAAGAACCACAAAATCTTAAAGGTGGAGGGGACCACTGAGATCCTGGACTCCAATGCTTGCCCAGTGCAGAGATCCAAATTAAAGCATCCTCAATAGGAGACTGTCCAACCTCTGCCTGAATGTTGCTTGCCATCCCTCTCATACCACTCAAAGCCTTCCAAAAGGAAACATGAAATCAACTGCAAATACATACCTTTAAATAAATTGTAGAAAACAGAAAGCTCATTCCCAAAAAGCTTTGGATTTTTGCTTTGGTAACTTCACAGAAACAACAGATTAGATATTGTGGCAATGCAGCAATTGTGTCTAAAAAAAAGGGCTGCTCTCACTTACTCTACCCACAAACTGCCTGAAATAACTGCTTCTGCCCTAAAGAAAAGGTCTCCAATCAGGAGTAAATGCAATTAATTTGTTAAAGCTTTTCTCCACATATTGTAAAACTCTCCAAGAAATAGAAGCAATAGACACAGCCAGAAAAATTGGACTAGTAGCTATTTAGCTAACAGCCCCATATCTCACCTGCTTATTGATGCTGTTGTCGTAGAACGTCCAAATAACTGTGGCTCTTCATTCTGATCTTAAAAAAAAAAAAGGTAAAGCCTTTTTAATACGGAGGCCCCAAAAAAGATCTACAATTGTCCTTCTCCATCTGGCTGTTTCCCAAAATTTGGGGAGTGCAACTGTTAGAATTCCTAAAGAGCAAAAGAGCCTCCAGAGATCTGGAGAGCACCAAATTTGTTAGTGAAGAAAGTTGATCTCCAGAACGGAGAGAGATACTGTACATTTCATTTTTTAAAAAATTGGTTTTTCAAAGGAAAGTAATATGTGGAATTTAGACAATCCCCACCCCTGTAAAATTATAAAAGACCTTTCCCATCTATAACCCTTCTGAAGACCCCTACAGAGGAAAGATCATGTTTTCAAGAAACTGTATCTTCCTATCAAAGAAGCAAACAAGAGCCTGTGTTAAATACCTGATACCAGGGCTACGCATGGCAAATTCTACAAGCACGTAGTTATCTTTCTTAAGATGCAAAAGAACTACCTCTGTTACAAACAAAATCTTCCACCCTCAATTGTGCACATTTGCTACTGCTTATCATTCAGTTCCATGGTTACCTTTCCAAACTATTCCAGCTCTCACCTTTCAAAGTGCCCTTTCAGCCAGCATAACCCAAGCCCTTTCTGCTCAAAACCTGGATTAGGCGGAACCTATATGCAGTTAGTCCACTTCAAGCATCTCATGCACAATTAAACCATTTTCTTAGAAAAGCTCCAAACTGCTAACCTCCTAATAACTTCCATTTGTTACTTGCTCGGAAAGCTTCCATCCATTTAACTTCATCTGGCCGTTCGTCGATGAATTCAGCCACCTGAAAATGAGAAATAAGACAGGCCTGTCTTGCTGCACAGCTGAAGTCCTCCTACCAAGCAACCAGTTGGAGTTTTCGCTCAACGGGTCCTGCTTGCCCGTCAGCTTTTGCTTTGAAATCCGTCGCCCGTAAATAAAGGAGAGCGGCAACCACCTCCGCCGCAAGCAACCAGCAAGGAAGCGCAAGGCGAGGAAAGGCTCCGGGCGCTCACCACTGGCAGATCGCTCTCATCCTCCTCCGCCGCCGCCGCCGCCGCCTCCTCCTCCT